GCGATGACAGCTATTTGCCTGGCGCAAACGACACGAAGCAAGCCGCAGCCCACATGAAGTGAGCTAAGCGAGAGAACCAATCAGCATCGCGGAAAAGCGGCAACAATTAAATCTCTTACATGCCTTCTTTTAGAGAGGATTCATAGGACGTTTATAGAACGTGACTTTTTGTCTACTTGTAACGTTCTATTGAAGATTCACGGGAACTCCGAAGTACCATACGAGAATATTCTAGGAATATTTAAATATTCTCGGAGGTTATTCTATGAACGTTCATAAAACGTACTTGAGCTGGCTGAGTTGAGTCACCTTGATATTTTTAGTGGTTGCCAAAAAATGCGCGAAAAATGCAATCGGTAGTAAAATGGCTGTCAGCGACGTTGAAAAATACGTACGCTTCCACGTCTTATTTAACCGTTATAAATAATACTATTATAGTATTAGTATTATTAGTATTTGTAAACCTTGAATTTCAACAGGATAAATTGTGGAGAACATAGTTTTCTTTGAATCACATCGATATCTTTTGTGGCTGCCGAGAAATAAGTAAAAAATATGAGCGGCATATTTAAACTTGTATATTTATTTATTGTTTCATATTGTTCAGTTTCCAAATATTTTTTCCTTATAAAATTACACAGAACGCAGCGCGAGAAAGACGAGAATGTTGAGAGATGATTTAGCTTTGCGATAAGTTCGCTGCTAGCTGGCTTCGTGCCTACGTCGCGCGGTCCACTCATCAGTGGTGAGACAAAAACAAAGCGATTGGACATTTATTTTTTTGTAACTTACTATCATTGTACGGAAGTACAACGAGCACGATCTAGGTGCATTTTGTCGTTACCACCGCAAAAATACGCCTAACGAACTTAGTAAAAGCGCATTTTGTTAGATGGCGTCTCGAAAATGCGCCTAGCTCTGTCCACTGAAATCAGGCAGGTGGCTTCTTTCTACATCTGCAATTATCTTTTAATCAGAGCAGTCAATATTTCCTTTCTGATTGGTCAAGAGATAATCGTAGACGTAAATGCGAATGTAGTCACTAATTATTAGCGTGACAGGGCATAAGACCGACGGTCTTTAGTATTACTTTGTCGGTAATGACAATTTTAGCCATCATAGATAACTTAGACTAAATTCAAATCTTCTTTAGCTACAATTCAAGATATTTAGTGGAGAATCAAACTCTACCTTTTTCATAACATTGCTAGATGGCACCAGGTAGTCCGTTAATATTTTTTGGAAAGGAGGAAGAGAGAGAGAGAGAGAGAGAGAGAGAGAGAGAGAGAGAGAGAGAGAGAGA